TTTTTTTATATTGTTATGCTCTCCTTTTGTTGTATAAAAAAATCATTATACATCTATTACTCAATATAAATATATTATTAAGTAAATATAAGACAAGATCATGAATATATATAAATATTTATTATAACTAATTATAGGCAATTTTAATTATGAATAAGGATAGATTATACATTAAAATAAATTTAGAAAATATTTGTAATTGCTTTTATTTTGTGATATGTTATTTTTAATAGGTATTCTTTTAGCTTCTTTATAATATTAAATTATTCTAAAATCACAAAAAATTGTTTTATTCGTGAGATCATTGTAGTTAACACGTTTTACTACATTTTTAATTAAATAATCATAAAATTACAAACAAAAATTTAGAAATGTGAATATTCGATAATACATTTCACCAATTGTACAATGTTTCAAAAAAAATTTTGTAACATTATTATTTTTAATACTACCCGGAGTTACGGATGTTGATGTTCTCAACTCGTGACTTTTATGCACAGTGCACTCAAGAATAAGATATTTACATGTACAAGTAAATAAATAATTTAATTTTTTTTTTCTTTTTTGGTTTGCTCTTTCCATTTTGAATGACCACAAATAATTTTAGAAACCTCATATTATATGAATTTGTTATCTATATTTTCTTAGAATTAATAGACAACTTACTTAAAAATTTGAATATTTGATTAACTTTCCAAGAATTGTCCAGTTTTTGAATTGATTTATTATCGAATATTCACATTTGAAATATAACATTTTTTGGCAATTATTTATTATTTAATAAAAGTATAGTAAAAATGTGAACTATAGTATTAAATTTTTATAAAATTATAAAAGTATTTTTATTCATGACATATTTTTTTTTGGAATTTTATAATTATAGTTAATGTTTTTATTCATGACATATTTTTTTTTTGGTAATTTTATAGTTATTTAATAAAAAGATATAGTATTCATATATCTAATTTTACAATTATTTAATAAAAAATATTTATAAAAAATTTACTATAAAATTAAATTATCAAATTATAACCATTTTATTCAACTTACTAAGTGGCATGTCAGATTGATGGTCACCTACTTGGAGGGGGAGGTCATAAGCATCTATACTGTAAAATTAATTTTCGACTAATGAAAAAAACATATATGGTACATATTATAAAATTACAAAATTAGTTTTATTCGTGACATAATTATAGCTAACATTTTTATTCATAAAATATTTAATTTTCTTTGTTATTTTATAATTATTAAATAAAATATATAGTAATGATTAAAATAAATTAACTTTAAAATTAATTATTATAAAATTACAATATAGTTTTATTCATAACGTAATTATAGTTAACACTGTTTTACTATACTTTTCATTAAATAATAATAAAATCATAAAATATATTATGCCATGAATAAAAAATGTTAACTATAATTATTTGATGAATAAATATTTTTTTTGTAATTTTATAATAATTTAATATTAAAAAAAAAAAGCTAAAAGTATGCATATTTTATATAATACATTACAAAATCAAAGTAACTAAAAATATTTTCTAATTTTATTTTAATGTATATTGTATTCTTATTCATAATTACTTTTTTTTATAAATAGTTAATATAGATAATTATATATATTCATAATGTTGTCTTAAATTTACCTAATAATAGAAAAGTTTTTCAAAACTAGTCCCACAGATTTTCTACCATGCCACATAGGTGATAAAGACTGTCAGTATGTCAAGAAAAATACCAAATATGCGCCACATGACTTATCGGACCTTTCAGGCTTGGAATCACATCAAAAGTCTTATTTTTTATTACTTTTTTTGAAAGTTGTGGACTATTTTTGATAGTTGATTTCTTGCATGACCAAAAATGACACTTCTTTTAATTTATGGGATTAGTTTTGACTTTTTCCCTGTAATTCTTGCCCGATGAGATATTTTTTGTTCGGTTGGACTTTGGTTTATGCGTATATTGGTGTGTGATCAAGCCTAAATAAATCTATGTCGTTTTTAGTTAGCATCTCGAGTGGCTTGATGAAGTTATGATTATATCTAGCATGGAAATTGGATCCTGGTTGATGAAAGTGTTTTTTTTTTTTTTTTTTTTTTTTTTTTTTTTTTTTTTTTTTTTTTTTTGAATAATTGGTTAATAGAAATAATATGGCAACCTATTGTTGTTACACTACTGTTTGCATCAACTTATCTCTCTATATCTATATTGTTATTAAAAATCAAGTGGTTTTGTAAAAAAATTGAAAAACTTAAAAACCATGACTTTGACATAATTTTAGTGGTAAATTAGTGAATTATTAGTATTCATCATATGTTTTACTTTTTGTTAATAACTAATATTTTACTTCAAAAATAATTCTTACATTGACAAATTTTGTAATGGCAAATCAGTAATACATTAATACTCATCCTATCTTAAATTGACAAATTTTTAATGGCAAATTAGTAACACATTAATACCCATCCTATTTTATATTTTTAATAACTAATATATATCTATATAATTAAATAAAAATACCCGAAAAAAATTCCACATCTCCTATCAATCAACCACAATATTCTCGCATAATTATGGGTCACGAATTTACTTTATTCCATCTATCTCCAGATCCGCTTTCTTCCATATCTCCCAAAATTTAACTTAATATCAACCCAAACAACAAAACTCTAAATGGATATAAAATTGTTAGTTTTTTATAATTATAAATAAAATTTAATAATTCTAATATATAAAAGTTGTTTAAAGAAATCAAATGCAACAAAAAACAGCATAATAAATACTTATAAAAATTTTAAATATTCTCAACTATTTATTTACCTATCTTCAATCTACAATTCCAAAGATAAATACTTAACTTTAATTAAGTATGACGCGGAGCTTTAGGCACTTCATATTGGTCTTCGGATTGTAGCCTCTATCTCCTCTCACATTTGGATCGAGCTGGACACTTCCGCTGTCGTCGACCTCTGGGCACCATGGTTCATGGTAGACTCAGCATCTACTCATGCGCATTCGTTCCATGCTTTAGCCGGAGCACTACTAGATTCGCACATATTCCACGAGGGAAACTGTCCTGCTGAGTTACTCGCTAGCATCAGTGCCTCTACTTCCCAGAGGCGCATTTTTCGGCCAGATGACACTCATCTCTTACTTTTTACCCTTGCGAAGATGGATCATATTGGCTACCCATTGTTCATATTTGGGTAATCGTTTTGGTTTTTTGTTTTCACCCTCTCGTGGCGCTCATTGTTCGTCTGGGCATCTGTAGCCCAGTTTCAGATCTTTTACTTTGTTTGTTGTTGTCTTTTTTGTTTGTGATTTTGTTTGTTTTGGCTACTGATTGTTCTTGTAGATTTGTATGTCTCCAGCCCTCTTTGAGCCTGATTATATACAGGTTGGGGGTCCCGCCTTAACCCCCACCCTTTCGGGGTTTTTTTCTAAAAAAAACTTTAATTAAGAGAAGTTCAAAGATGAAACATATACATAATTTAACAAATAGAGAAGTTGATCAATTCACTACTCCTTCATTATTGAAGAAAAATAACTCTTATATTTAGAGTTACAAGTGAAAATTGCACCTTAGTCTTATTGGATGGAACTTTAACCCACAAAATTCATCATCTATTTATTTTTTTTATTTTTTTTTTCAATTTTATTTCGAAAGTCAATAAAGTTAACAAATCTTCATTTATTTGTTTTTCTTTTCAGTTTTATTTCGAAAGTCAATGAAGTTAACGAATCTTTATTTGACCATAAGGTGGTTAATATGTGTAATATTTTGATTATTAAGACTTATGTTTAAATGTTTTGTTCAAGACTTAACTAAAATAAGTCATGATTATTTTCTAATTAATAAACCAACAAAAAATTAGTCAGCAGAATTATATTACTCAAGTTAATTAGTTAATAAGTCAGATTACTTAGAGCATCTCCAATCAGAAACTCTATTTTTAGAGTTTCTACAGTAAAATCCCACTAATTTTACAGTTTCAACAGTGCCAACAACTCCAACTCATACTCTCTATAATTCTTTACTTAAAAAACATTCCTAGCATGTTCTTTTTTAATTTTTATTAGTTTATTAAATAGTATTTACACATTATATCTATTCTATACTTATATTAAAGGGAAACCTATTTACTAAATATAGTAGGTAGAAAAGTCAACTTTAATTAATGAACTTCTAATTTTATTAAGTAGTAATTAATGCATTTATAATTTTAATCAAGTTTTCTATTTTACATATTGTTTTTAATCCTTCTTATCTTGACATAAAAAATCTCATAAAATAGGGTGAGCAAAAACAATCAAAATTCTGTTTCTAAAAACTACAAATCAATATTACGATTTTGAATAATACACTAACAAACTATAATATATTTTTATAAAACTTATAAAAAACTATTAGAAAAACTTGGTTCGTATATTTGTATGGATATTTATATTTTTTTAATATTATCTTTGTGTTAAAAAAAACTATTTAACACTATTATTTTTTATTATAGAATAAAATAATAATTAAATATTATATGATGAACAAAAATAAATAAAACTGTTACTTTTTCTTATATCAAGGGATGAATTTATATACTGAAATTAAAGTTTTATTAGTATAAATA